TTAATGATACTGATAATATGATACTAAAAAATAGTAAACATAATAACAATAATAATAATGATAGTAATGATAATAATAATAAAATGTTAATGATGATAATGATAATAATAATATTGCTAATGAAAATGATAATGACAGCAATGATATTGATAATTATAATAGTGATAATTAAGATGATAATAATGATGATTAAAATAATGATAATAATGAAATTAATGATAATAATGATAATAATAAAATCATAATAATGGTAATGATAATGATAGTAAAAATGATAATAATGATGATGATGACAATAATGATAATGCTAATGAAGTAATAATGACAATGTAAATGATTATTAATATAATGATGATGATGAATGATAATGCTAATAATAATGACAATGTAAATAATTATTACTATCATAACTATTATCATTACCATTATTATCAATTTATAAACATGACTATTCTTGTACTCATTATTTCTATGATTATTTCTACCATTATTACCAATATCATCATTATCTTCATCATCTTTGCTTTCATTGTTATCAATATCATCATTATAGTCATCATTGATATTACTATTGTTATCATTATCATTGTCATTATAATTACTATCATCACTATCATTATCATCATTACCATTAGTATTATTACTATCATCATCATCTTTAGTAGCATTAGTAGTAGTAGAAGTAGTATCATCATCACTATTATCATTGTCATTATCAATACTATTATCATTATTGTTATTATTGTCATTATAATCATTACCATTATCGTTATTTTCACCACTACTGTATCATCACCATATCTTTTTAAACCAATGCTTCTCCTGACATCATGACATCCAGACCCATATGAGTTCAGTGGCACAACATACCGAGAGGTTTTCAGCGGACTACTACCACTATAACAAATCATTATTATTATTATTATACTATTATTGATTATATCATTATTATTATTATCATTATCATTATTATTATTATCATTATTATTATTATCATTATTCATCATCATATCTATCATAATCATTGCCATAATTTTGTTATTAGAAATTATGATAACAGGAAGCCGACAGGAAGTCCGGTGACATCACAGCACAAGCAACGCATGAAGGTCGGGATGTCTGGGACTTATGTGATGAATTTGTGATGACTTTGTCTGTTTAAATGAAGAAAAAAACATGGCATTACGAGAATCAGTAAGTAATTTAAAATAATAAGATTAAATTAGATTAGGGGGATTAAAGTTCTTGGAAAAACGATACAGGGAGAGAGGGGAGAGAGAGAGAGAGAGAGAGAGAGAGAGAGAGAGAGAGAGAGAGAGAGAGAGAGAGAGAGAGAGAGAGAGAGAGAGAGAGAGAGAGCGAGAGAGAGAGAGAGAGAGAGAGAGAGAGAGAGAGAGAGAGAGAGAGAGAGAGAGAGAGAGAGAGAGAGAGAGAGAGAGAGAGAGAGAGAGAGAGAGAGAGAGAGAGAGAGAGAGAGAGAGAGTAGAGAAGAGAGAGAGACAGAGAGAGAGAGAGAGAAAGAGACGAAGTATGGAATGAGAAAAAAAATCTGGTACAACCGCATCCAAGAGGCCACATTCACCCACCCTGTCCTTTCCTCTCCCGTCCCCTGTGCTTCACAATCTCTCATAATGTAAAAAAAAAATCCTACTTTTGCTCTCTAATAGAAATGATAATACTAAAACCACTCATTTGCATATATGGCAATCAAGTTTACACGAGTGAGTGTAAGACAAGAAGTAAAAAGAAAAAAAAAAAAAAAAAAAACTAGGTTTGACTGGAAGTATGGCGACGTGTCTGACCTTTTCTACTCTGTGCCATAAAACTATTTTGTATGCAAATTAGCCTCTTTTTCTCAGCGTGTCTGGCGGTCCCGATGAATTGGAAATGTGGAAAAGGTGATGGTAGGTGTGTAGCTTGGGATGATGGACAATGTGGTTTGGTGGTGGTTATAGAAAAATGAAAGTAGTCTATGATTTATGATGCCTTTTCTTTCGATGCTACGTTTGACACTAAGAGTACAGGGGGCAGTACGGGTACGTGTGTGGTACTAGTGTTATGATATGGAGCACAAGAAACACAAGTGATGTTAAAAAAGGACTCGGACGGTGTCTATTACTTTGGGGCGGAGTGTCTAATAGTCCAACAGCTAATTACACTGCAATAAAGTAGCGGACGGGGTGATTAAGTTATTGACGGGGAATTATGATAGCCTTACAGCTAATCACTCTACAAAAGCCGGCCGTGGTAACGAGGTGATTAAATCCTTGCTAATTATGTAAACTATTGCTATCCTCCGCGCTCTGAACAGAGAGTCATCACACCAGTAATTTTTCGCACCGTCATCATGACTTTTGCTTTTATTAACTTTTGTGCTCCACTTTCCTCTCCTCAGTGAGGTCTGCAAGTCATCGGAGTATTCCAGACCTTGCACGAAGGCAAAGAAAGAGTGGTCTTTCTTTTTTTCGTTTTTGTCTTCTTAATCATGTCGTCTATAGCC